GGCCCAAAGTCACCCAGCCAACTTTCATGCCTAAGGTGGGACTAGAACTCACAATCCCTTGGTTTCTAGCCCGATGCCCTAACCACTAGACCATGAATCATGTCTGCTCCATAAACCAAACCACCTCTAGGTCACAATTTCTGCATCTCTACTGGGCATCCTAAGGAGGGGTTGGGAATATTTGTGCCAGGCATGGCTACAGAAAAAAACCCAAGTCCTTCAAGTCACCTTTTTCACACAGCGCTTGGATTTAACCGCCAATTCCAGTTAAGGGCTGACCTGAAGATTTTGGACCAAGTCCCAAATCGAACAGATTCCAAAGTTCAGGGATCATTGAGATCACCTCTTGTAAGCCGCGGTGTTTGCATTTTGGGGTTTGCTAAACTTCAGAGGAAGGTTAATGATCAGTAATGGCTGCCTGGTGGACGGTGTAGGTTCTTCAGATCTTTTTAGGCACCCGTAGGATAGTCTGGCGAGGGAAGGCGTCCTTGTTGACGCGGTACCCAGCCTGCTCGCCACCCATGCAGCGGTAAGGCGAGGTGGGGGGAGAGAAGGGTGGTTTGGAAGGGGGAAACTCCGGTTCCAAGGTCACCCACTCTGAGAATGTCTGAGGCAAACAGATCGTTCTCAAAACAACCAAGGTGGAATCGATTGGTGGATGGAGGACCACGGGAGGACCGTGAAGTGGAAAAAAAAGGGGGTGGGGAATTTATCTTATGCTTTTTTGCGCACGAAATGTTAAGAGCCGGCTTTGCTGCTTCTGTACCCACGCGGCTTTCCAGCAAAGCACAGGTAGTCCTCGACCTACGAACCACGACACAAGTGGCCCCATTTCGCAACAGTTGTGAAGGGAAAGACTTGCAGTTGTTTAAGGTAGGAACCCGGTTATTAAGTGAATCCTGGCTTCCCTGTTGACTTTGCTTGCCGGAAGTTTGCAAAAGGGGACCACACGTGACCCCGGGGGCACTGCAACCGTCATAAATATGAACCCATTGCCAAGCGTCTGGATTTCGGTCAGATGATGACAGGGATTGCTGCAAAGGCAAACTCTGAAAAGCGGTCAGGAGTCACTTTTTTAGCTGCCTTTGTAACTCTGAATGGTTATTAAATGAACTGTTGCAAGTTGAGGACTACCTGTATCCCCTTGGAGGCGGGCGGAAATGTCTCGGGAGTTTCTTTTGCTGGCTAGCGCGTTAGCAGAGGAGGGTTTTGGTGAGGGGGAAGAGGAGGACTATGGGGTCCTTGGTGCTCTCTAAACTTGGTAGTTTTCTTGCAGACATTTCATTACCCAACTAGGTAATAGCATCAGTGGAAAAAAGGACCTACTCCCTTCCGGCGCTGATGGTGTTACCTAGTTGGGTAATGAAATGTCTGGAAGAAAACCCCCAAGCTCAGAGAGCTCCAAGGACCCACAGTTCTCCTCCTCCCCATTTCACCACAAACCCCTCTCCCTTCTAGCATTGATGATGTTACCTAGTTGGGTAATGAAACGTCTGCAAGAAAACCACCAAGCTCAGAGAGCTCCAAAGACCTACTACACCCCATTTCCTCTTCCTGTTTCTCCTCTTCCACTGTGCAAATCCCACTCCCTTCTTACACTGATGATGTTAGCTAGTTGGGTCATGAAACGTCTGCAAGAAAACCACCCAGCTCAGAGAGCACCAAGGACTCCAGAGTAGTTGTCGCCGCCTCCTCCAACCCCATATCCTTCTAGCACTGATGATATTACCTAGTTGGGTCATGAAACATCTGCAAGAAAACCACCCAGCTCAGGGAGCACCAAGGACCCCACAGT